GATGGTCTCAGAGGGTTTTTCCAACCTCACTGATTCCATGAGGAGGACATGAGCAGGAGCTGCACGAGAGATGCCCCAGCACAGCCTTGAACTCTCGAGGTGACCACAGCACAGGTTTTACACAAGTTGCAGTGACCCTGGAGGGGTCATTCAGGGACTCTTCCTTATCCATCAGCTGCTGGATTACAGGAGAAGCTCACCAGGGCTATTTCAGCTTTAATAGTCCCCTGAAGCTGGGTGGAACACGCTGCTCTGCCCTCCACCCCTGCCTTTCTCCAGCAGGCAGCTCAAAGACCTGGGTTAAGCAACATTTTGGGAGAAAGGATCAGAGTACAGTCAGGGCCCAGCTCTGGTCTGCTTGTAGTAGGAGAAATGATTATTCCAATTATTGCAGCTGCATTAATTGAACTCTCCTTCCAACTCGGTGCATTTCCCACCCAGCATCTGACAAACCAGAGGATAAATAAATGGACGTAAGCTAATGAGGAAAAAGGAAGAAGCTTTTTTACAATGAGGGTGGAAGCTCAGAGAAGCTGTGGCTCCCTCATCCCTGGAAATGTCCAAGGCCAGGCTGGACAAAGCTTGGAGCAGCCTGGGCTGGAGGAAGGCACTGCCAGCAACCCAGGTGAGCTGCCTCATCCCCAGCTCCCAGTTCTCCTCAGGAAGAGCTTCCTGCAGAGAATTCCCTAAGGAGGGATGGACACACCAACACCCCAAGGGGTCCATCACCATCAGTCTCAACACCCACTGCCCAGTGACCATGGTCTGGAGGGGCACCTCCCCAGGGATCTTTGCTTCAGGAACAGCAATTAACAAGCCAATTACCTCTGCTGAAGTTTTGAGCAAGATCCTGCTAGTGCCAAAAGGCATCCCAAACTTGCAGGCTTTACCCACACTGGTACCACGTAGGGAACTACATAAAGCAACCATTCCAGTGGGCAGAACATGCAGGAAGCAGGGAGAGGAGAGCCAAGGCCATGCCCACCCTTCAAGCCTTGTTTGTCATGGAAAGTCCCTGTCCATGGACTGACTCCATGATTGACAAGGCTTTGGATCCACAGCAGAACACCCCTCAGTGGGCAGCACTGCACCCAGCACCTTCTCAGGGCGTCAACTCACCACCTGGCTGATGTCATATCCCCAGGGCAGGAAGAGAATCCCTGTGTTATACTTCTCCCAGTGGGAGAGGATGAAGGAAAACAAGACCACCCACAGCAGGAGGTAGAGCACGAAGACGCTGACGCCGGTGGAGCCCCGGCCGAAGGTGGAGTACACGGTGACCACAAAGTACACGCAGGCCCAGCTGTCCAGGCCGTGGTCAAAGAGCTCTCCCAGGGGGGTGCTGGAGTTGGTCCGGCGTGCCTGCTTCCCATCAACACCATCTGGGAAGAGGGAGAGAAAAATGGATGATGTGTTAGTCTTTGAGCCAGGGCTTAGGAGCTCTCAGAGAAATACATCACACCTGAGATAGCTCAGCTACCCAGAACGGCATAAAATTATCGGAATGGCTTCTGAGGTAGTGTTGGAAACAGAAAACTGTTTAATAAAAGGCAAAATAACAAAGCTCTTATGGAGAAAAACCCAAGCCAGGGGCAAGAGGTTCTTGCTGCTGCTAAAATACCCCACAAAAGTGATCATTTCCTTTGTTCTCTTCTTCTTCTAGTGAATTACCTAGGTGGGACCTTTTGGCCTCTGTCTAATCAGACAGCCCCAGGCTTGAGTGGAAGTCCAAAAGGTCCTATGAGGTGTCTTTTGTACCAAACTGGGAGAGAAACTTCTGGGCTTTTTGCCTTTTTAAGCAGATAAAGAATAATTTAGTCACTCCCTCAACAGGGGGCACATTCCTACACATGGAGCTCTCCTGGACACTCCACACAAAGCAATGGGCCAGGGAACAGCAGCTTTCCCCACCTCCACCCTCAGTCAGTGAGTGGACTCCCCACCCCCTGCTCCATGGGAGGCTGGAAATGGAACAGTCTGATGAGATTATATTTATTTCCTTATGTTTCCTTTATATTAATTAGAGCAGCCTCTTCCTGTGCCTAAAGGAGGTCCAAGAGAGCTGGAGAGGGACTTGGGACAAGGGATGGAGGAACAGGACACAGGGAATGGCATCAAAGTGGAAAAGGGGAAATTTGGGTGGGATATTGGGAAGGAATTCTTGGCTGTGAGGCCTTGGCACAGGTTGGCCAGAAAAGCTGTGACTGCCCCTGGATCCCTGGAAGTGTCCAAGGCCAGCCTGGATGGGGATTGGAGCAACCTGGTGTTGGATTCGGCATGTTTACATAGGCGTGTTTTGTTTGTTTACAAATAAATACATACTATGTATTTATGAGACTTTAAGAATTCTCTACAAATTCGCTTCCCACATTTGGAACAGTGGAAAGTGTCCCTGCCCATAGCAGGGTGTAGAACCAGAGGATTTTGCAGGTCCTTTCCAACCCAAACCATTCTGGGATTCTCTGATTATTTAGAGCAGACCCAAGACAGAGTTTCACAGTTCATCTCAAAGTCAGTTCCAGTATCCTCCTTTCCCATCAGATGCTCAGAGACAACTTCCTTATCTCCACATTGCAAAGCAGCTCCCAGAAACTGCTGGGAGCACACAATATAACACTTCCCATGGGGAGAGAGGGAACACAGTCACAGCATGAGTGGGTGACCCTGAAAACTCTTACCTAACGTGTAGGCCATGAAGTTGAGGAGCCCCACCACGATCCACACACCATTTGGAACGTGCTGGTGATCAGGAGCTGCAGGGATCAGACAGACCAGAGTCAGGACAGTTCAGGATGTGCTTCCTGAGGGTTTATTTTGGCCCAAAAAGCACAGCCACGAGGACTCAAACAGTGAATCTGGGATGTGAGCTTTGCAGGATGTGATGGCAGAGCTGCCCCATATCAGCTCATGAAACCAGGTCAGTGAGGACTTTGCCTTTCAGGATATATTTGCCCTTTGTTCCCAGCTCTCTGAAATCATGGGATCTGAGAACTGGGGCCAGTTCTGCAGTGCCACTGCAGGCTGTGTGGAAGTGTGTGCAGAGGACACTCCTCAGTCAGTCACTGGCTCACAGAGCATCAAGTGGAGCCTCTTTGATGTGGCAACTCCCTGCCCCCGCAGGAACATGCCAGGATTCCCCGCCCAGTCTCCAGTCCCATCCTGCCAATGGAAGCCGAGCTCTTCCCTACCAGCACCTCCACCTCCTCCAGCACGGCTCAGGCAGCGAGCCAGCAGAGCTGGCTGCACCTCACCCCATACCCACACTCCTGCAGCAAGGCTTTGTGAATTTCCTGGGATCACACCTTCAATTTCTCCTCTGGTGGACAATGTTTTATTTTGTATCATGAGAAAAATGGAATGAACGTGAACATGATCCAGATTCAAGCTACTACGCAAAATAAAACCTAATTTGGGACTTTCAGCATGCTGATTAATACCCACACTGTGTTGGTTGTGGTAGAAGCAGAGTAACAACCCATTCTTCTTGTCCAGCACCTTTCTCCTCTGTTAATATTTATTTCCTAATGGATATCATGGTAGGCTGCAATCAGGGAGCCCAAAGAGAAGGGCAGAAAGAGGCAGGAGGGCACAGGGAGGTCTCTGGGGGAACAGTGATCCCCTGAAATGCCACCTCCTGTTTCCTCAGGGCAGCAGGATGGTGCCCTTCCAGCAGCAAAGGGAGGGAGGGCATCACATCTGCAAAGCCATCCAAGGAGGAGGAAGGCACAAAATTCTGGAGCAGCACCAGAAGTTCTGTCTCCGAGCAGGACATGTAAAACATGTATGTGAAAGGGTCCCAAGCTATCAGCTTCTCCATCCTTCCAAAGCCAATTTTTGAGAGGTTGGGAGAGTTGGGGATGTCCAGCCTGGAAAATAGAAGGCTCCAGAGAATTCTCAGAGTCCCTTGCAGGCCTAAAGAGGCTCCAGGAGAGCTGGAGAGGGTGGGACAAGGTCCTGGAGGGACAGGACAAGGGGGAATGGCTTCCCACTGCCAGAGGGCAGGGATGGATGGGACACTGGGGTTTGGAGCAACCTGGGATAGTGGGAAGTGTCCCTGCCCCTGGCAGGAGGTGGGACCAGATGGGCTTTAAGGTTCCTTCAACCCAAACCATTCTGGGATTCCGTGATTCTGGATGTCTGATGTCCTGGGGGTTTTCACCTTGAGCTACTGACAGCTTTTGTTCCCATGGCTCATGGATCTTTACAGCCCAAACCCTGGCCAACAGCCACCTGAACCTTCAACAGCTGTGACTTATCTACCAATAAAGGCAATCCCAAGAAAGCAAGATTTCTGCCATGTAACTGTGTTTTGATGATGGGTCCAGTTTAGAACTCCACAAACTCTCCTGAGCAACCTAAACCAGACCTGGCAGGGTCTAAGGGAGAGAAAAACACAGAGGAGAAGCTCCTGAGAATTATCACACTGCATTAATGCTTTCCCTGGGACTCCTCCATGTGCAAAGGAACACGACTGAACTATTGGATTCACAGACAGATGAACATGGGGACTGTTAGAAAAGTTTAAAGCTGTGAATGATGAAGCTCAGAAAGAGGATTTGGCCTTGTTAGTCTGATGTGCTGGTGGTTTTGCCAATGGAGGAAAAAGCTGGGATGTGAAAAACAAGGCTCTACCAGCTGATTTCAGGGAAGCAACACTTCCTAACATTTTCCTGTTAGATTTTCAAACAAGGGCACTGGGTTGATTGCTCTGCAGGCAGAGCCAATTCCAACCCAAGATTCCAGCTGTCTCTTCCTCCCTGTCCCACCTGCTGCCAGCCAGGAGCACCTTTCCCTGGCAGCCAGAGGGAAGGTGTCACACTCTGACAAGTCCTTGTCACAAAACCCAGTAAGTTCAATCCCCTCCTCTGTCCCAGTCGCTTTGGGAAGGCCCAGACCCAGAGACCTCACCAATTCCCAGCAGAGGAGATTTCCCACCTGACCAAGAACATGCAGCCTTACCAGAAGCATAAAAGTCAGGGTCGAAGTATGCCATGAGGAAGAAGTTGAAGACAAGCAGCAGGAAGCCAGAAAACGTTATCAAATTTGGGGCCAGCCAGGTAGGGAAGATCTATGGGAAAGCAGCAAAATAACAGATGAACTCATTAAAACATGGACTGAGGAGCAGGTGCTGCTCCAGCCATGGTTGCACTGTCTGGGTGTTAGACAACACTGCCAGGAGCAGCTGGAGCATCCTGGGGCAGCAGGAAGCGTGGGATGCAGGCATTCAGGGATTGGGGGCAGGCTGCAGGCAGCCCCTCACTCATTAGTGGCACCACAAACGAAGCAGCTGATGGTGTTACAGAGCTGACCTGGGCTGTGCTGTCCTGCCCAGGGTGGGACAGGGGCTCACCTTCACGACGGCGTTCCAGAAGGGATGCATGACATACAGGGACAGGGGGTTGCTGTCCACGGCGCTGTACTGGGAAAGGGAAACAAAAACCAACAGTTAGGGCTCCAGCAATGTGCAGAAACAGCCAAACATCTGGAATCTTCTGAGCCACATCTGTGTGGAACCCCCACAGGACTCCTGATGTACCCCCCAGCCTTTGGAGATGCCAGCTCCAACTCTGAGTGGACACAGGCAAGGAGCAAAATGCTGATCCTTTCAACTGCTTCCAACTTCTCTGCCCCACCTGGATGAGGAGAAATGCTGTGGGTCCTACCCCCAACAGTGCCATCTGTCACCTCTGGAAATGCCAGCTCCAGATCTCTGAGTGGACACAAGCAAGGAGCAAAATGCTCATCCTTTCAACTGCTTCCAACTGCTCTGCCCCACCTGGATGAGGAGAAATGCTCTGGGTCCCCCCAATAGGGCCATCTGTCACCTGCTCTGCTGTGACCCCTTTGTTCCCTTGCTGGTCCCAGTCTCCATCCTCACTTCCAGCAGTGGGACTGGGAGCCCCTTGAGCAGGATGGGTCTCAGAGGGCCCCTCTCCACTGAGGAGCTGAGATTTCACCAGAGGCAGCTTTGGGAATGGGGAGGGAGAACTCTTATCCCTCACCCCATCACTTTCATAACATTTGAGGCGCTCAGGGTGTGTTTGTGGTAGGGGAAATAGAAATAGAAATAAAAATCAATGATCTAGACAAGGCATGAAACAACGTCCAGATAGAAAGTTAAAATTTGACATCATTTGGCTCTCAAGAGCAGCACGAGCCATTATCTGCTCTCCCAGCCCCTTCCAAACACAGATTACCCTGGCTAAAGTCCTCTTCTCCCAGGAACACTTTGATAAGAATGCCAAGAACAATTCCATAGGCTACCAAACTCCTGGGCTCAAATGCTCGGTGCTGGGCTGGGCAGAACCTGCTGCTCACCCACCTGCTTGGGACAGCACCCCCAGCTCCAGCACAGCATCTGCCTGAGTCCAGTCCCAACCACAGAATCCCAGAGTGGTTTGTGTGGGAAGGGACCTTCCAGAAACTCCAGTGCCAGCCCCTGCCATGGGTAGGGGCAGTTCCCACTGTGCCAGGCTGCTCCCAGCCCCATGGGGATCCAATCTGATAGGGGACCAAGGCCCAACCAGGGATCCAGGGACAGCCACAGCAGCTCTGGGCACTCTGTGCCAGGGCCTCACACCCTCACAGCCAAGAATTCCTTCCCAATATCCCACCCAAATCCCCTTTTCCACTTTGAATTCCCTGGGTCCCGTCCCTTCATTCCTTGTCCCTCTGCAGCTCTCCTGGAGCCCCTTCAGGCCCTGCAAGGGGCTCTGAGCTCTCCCTGGATCCTTCTCCCATCCAGGTGAGCACCCCCAGCTCTCCCAGCCTGGCTCCAGAGTAGAGTAGAGGGACCCCAGCCCATGGAGCAGCTCTGTGGCCTCCTCTGGACTCATTCCAACATTTGGTTGGTACCACATTTGGTTTGGTTGGTAAAAGGAAACCCCTCAGCAAAGAGCAGCTCCAAGTGATCCCCCCAGCCCATGGCCTTGAACCAGCTCCTGTCACTGCACCCATGGATTGCTCCAACCTGTTCCTTTCCTTGTCTGCATTCCCCATTTTCCCTGGAAGCCCAGAAGTGGTGGGAAAGGGCAAAACAAAACCCCCCAAGAAACACAGCAGGACCAAGAAGGGATAAGGGACAAAGATGGGTCTCGCTGGGGTCCCATCTTACAGCATTTGCTCCTCCTGGGTGAATCCCATCCTTGGCAGGGATTTCTGTACCCCCTCCCTGGGCAGGGTCAGTCCATCTCCCTGGGATTCAGCCCCAGAGGTTGTGTCCCCACAGGAGCAGCAGAGCAAGAAGCAACAAACCCCAAAGCCGTATGGAGGCAACTCTAAGCCACAAGGAATTTCCAATCGCAGCTTAATGCAATTTTGGGGGGCAGAATTCCAAATGCTTTACAAGATAATAGGATTTGAAGCACCAGTTAGGGGAGGAGGAGAGACTGATTTAATCTCATTATCCCCAAAACAGCCTGGAACAAGAAAACAGATGCAAGGCTTGGAGTGAGGCAGGGGAAGAGCTCCAGAGCCTCCGTGCCCATGCTTGGAAGGTACCTCAGGGAAGTTTCACCAGGCTCATGGCTTGGGAAGTTTCCCTCTCTCCCTGCAAGAGCTGGGCACAATATTCAATAAACAGCTTTTCCCCATGGCCACACATGCTCCCACCTTGCTTGCAGAACTCAAAGAGCTGGCAAGAGCAGTTTCTTGGAGAAAGAGCAGCTGCTCTGCAGAGGTTTGCTGATGCAACCATGGAATATCCTGGGTTGGAAAGGACCCACAGGGATGCTGGAGTCCAACCCCTGTCCCTGCCCAGGCCCCCAACAATCCCACCCTGCACATCCCTGAGAGCATTATCCAAATGTTCCTGGAGCTCTGGCAGCCTCGGGGCTGTGCCCATTCCCTGGGGAGCCTGGGCAGTGCCCAGCACCTCTGGGGGAAGAACCTTTCACAATATCCACCCGAAACCTCCCTGGCACAGCTCCAGCGGTTCCCTTGGGTCCTGTCCCTGTCACAGAGTTAGAGTTGCCCCTCAGGAGGAAGCTGATGACATCCATGAGCTTCCTCTCAGTCTCTTCTCCAGCTGAACAAGCCAAGCGCCCTCAGGCACTCCCTGTGTGCCCCCTCCAGACCCTTCCCCATTGGGTCTGTGCCCCTCTGGATTCTCTCCCACAGCTTCAGATCCTTCCTATGCCCCCAGCTCCTGCCAGGCTCCAGCCAGGACACTCCTCTGTGTGCTGAGCAAGGCCAGCCATGCTGGGCCCACTCTGGGGACACCCTGAGGCACAGAGACAGAACCAGGGCAGCTCTGGTGCCAGGCTGGCTGCCACCCTTGGGGACAGCGCTCTGGACAGCCAGGACACGGCTGCCTGCCCAGGACAGCTGCTCCCAGAATACCAATCAGCTGCCAGGCACCTTCAGGGACAGATCCCAAGACATCTTGGCCATGCTCAGCCTCCTCCAGCTGCTTTTCCTGTCAGGGCCTTCCTTACAAACTACTAAAGTTGTCCCTTCCAGCTCTTCACTTGTCAACCCCAAACCCAGCAGTGTTTGAGCCCGGCACTGGCTCCATCATTCCCTCACCTCATCCTCACTGGAAATCAGTGTCACCTTCTGTATTTTGGACCTCCACACACTGGTCTAGTGACTCACATCCCTCTATAAATCATTCTTCTATCACGACCAGTGATTCCCACCAGCCTGGACTCTGGATTTCTGCCCCTTTGCCCCTTTTTCAGGGAAAGAAGGTTAAAGGAGAAGTGCCCAGAAGGAATTTCATACACCCCAGAGTCTCCTTCCTAAAGCAGCCAGCCATTTGTAAAGGGCCCTGCTCTAAAATAGCTCCGTGCTCACAGACACAGCTTCTCCTCAGGGCTGCAGGGAGGAGCCAACCAGCCCAGACAGCTCCCTTGGAACTGGGGTCAGAACTCCTCAGGGAAAGAGCAAAACCAGCAGCAACAACCCCTGGCAGCACACAGGAGCCTCCTGTCCATGCCAGGATGGCTCCAGGGAGCCACAGGCACCCCAAGAGTTGGGGACAGGCCCGGTGGCTGTGGTGCCATCGCAGACGAGCTGGCTGGCGTCGTTATGGCATTTACAGACACAAATGGCTTGTATGGCTTCAACCCAACATTAATCCTGCAACCAGGACACCTCTGGGAGATCCAATTATGTGTCCAAAGAGGAAAAAAAAATACAGATTTATAGCCCAGATTCTACTAATAGTCTTCCTGTCCCGGAAAAAACAATTCTGCTTTGAAGTAATCTGGTTACCCAGAGCCAACAGCAGAACAAACACTGCCACAGAATCCTGGAGAATCCTGAGCTGGGAGGGACCCACATGGGTCACCAGGTCCAGCTGCTGGCCCTGCAGAGGACATGCCAAAAATCCCACCATGTGCCTGGTGTGATTCACACCATCACCACTGTCTGGGCCCAGAGGTGTTGGGGTGTGACACCCAGGTGGGCTGGGGCAGCACAGCACTGGTGCTGAGGACAGCACAAAGATGGATTTGCACATCCCATCTTGCTCCAGGCAGGATCAGGGCACTCAGCAGAGCTGCTCCAGCAAGTCCACAAGGCTGCTCCCTACAAATCTCCTTAAATACAAAGAGGGCACAAGGCTAAGAACCTTCTCCCCTCAGGCTCAAGATAAGGCAGGAGGCAGAAAACTCAACCAATCCCAGCAAATGGAAGCGAGCAAAGCCGTGCCAGGTAAAACAAGGCACGTTTGCCCTATGCCCACCCTTGGCCAGCGTGTGAGGAGTCACCTCACCCTTTAATGGTACTGATTAACTCGAGCCCTGTTTGCCTTTTCCAAGGTCACTTCTCAGCTGGCAGCAGAGGGAGAGTGTTGGCAGTGCAGAGCTGCACCCACCACATGAGCCCGTGGGTTTGGAAGCTGCAGGAAGGATGTGGATGTCCTGGCTGTCTGTCCCAGCTGCAGCTTCAGTGTGTCCCTCCTCCTGCCTGGGTTGTACTGTGCAGGGTTCAGACATCCAGCAATGAAAGATGCTCCAAAATAAAGCATAAAGTCACAGAATCACTGAGGCTGGAGAAATTCTCTCCAAACATCGAGTCAAACCATCCTCTGGCACTGCCAAGGCCACCACTGTCCAATATCCCCTGGTGCCACATCCACAGGGCTTTAAAATCCCTCCAGGGATGGACACTTCAGCACTACCCTGGGCAGCTGTGCCAGGGATGGACAGCCCTTTCCAGGTGGGAATTGTTCCCAACATCCACCCTGAGCCTGCCCTGGCCCAGCCTGGGCCATTTCCCCTTGTCCTGTCCCTGTTCCCTGGCTGTCCCCTCCTGTCAGGGACTTGTGCAGAGCCACAAGGTCCCCCCTGAGCCTCCTTTTCT